AAAAGAAAACGTATTACTATTTGGTAAGGGCAGTTTACAGGAAAGGAGTGAGAGATACACCGAGTTGAAAATGAAAAATGACAACAAATGACTCATAAGACAATCCCATTTTTAAATCATAATCATTATAATTATATCTATTATCATTTGTATTGATGAATCAATCAGTTTCACCGCTTGAGTGTTCTTTCCTTAATAGCATGCCTGGTTTTGTCTAATTCTGAAATAAATAAAAAATGTGGTCTAGTTTCAGTGACAATTGGTTTCGAGGGTCGTTTGCTGAAATATCCTAACTTCTATTAAGTTATTCATTATCGACAAATAATTGACTATAGCTCAATATATGCATTCAACAAATAAAGTCAAAAATTATTGTAAATTTACCTCTGCTATCTTTGTTTTAGCTTTTCTTGCTAGAAAACAAAATCAAATAAAATTATCCATCATAGATACCTGTGAATAATTGTCTTTAGGTTTGAAAGAAGGTTTTTATCATTGCACGCTCAACGGTTGTCTCGCTTCGATGCAAAGGCACGGCTACCTTTCAAGATGTCGCAGGTAACCGTGAAGGAGACTATTGCTAAGTAATACTATACTAGTTGGACAAAAAATGGATGGAATATATAAATAATTATAACTAAATGTTGAGGACCATTGAAAATAGACCTCGAGTAGCTTAGCCAATCAGAACAAAGGATTTGCAATAGTCCACTAGTATGGTAATACTAAATACAAATAGTTTTTGATTTGATCAATTAAAAAAAAACATCGTCTTTCATTCAGCATGTATAATGTATATATTACGACCAAGATTCTGGGTCGCCTGGTTGTCTGCACCCAGAGCCTTATTCAATTTTCCCTTGTGCAGTCCGGAACATTACCAGTTTTGGTAATATCATTTCTATCACAAAATGGCGGCTGAAGCTTTTTCCGAACYCTTTCCATTTTAGCCCCTAATACTCAAATAAAGCTCCAATCCCATGAACCTTTGCCCGCCAAGGCTTTCTAGTATAACAAACGAAGCCATAGCTGTGAAGTATTGTATAAGACAAGTATACGTTTTCAAAATATTCGAGTTTTTATGCTGCTTCTTTGCGATTTTTCGACTAGTTTCACATACTAAAGCGATTTTTAAAGTATCTTTGCCCCCGTAGTTGGCAATTTGGCCCACCTAGAGGCAATTTAGAGTGGTTTTACTGTCTATTACAGTTGRTTTTGTGTTGAGGCATAACGGAACTTTTTGAGGCATCCTCTTTAAAGTTGTAAAAGCTATTAATTGAAGGGAGCGATGGAGAGCATCGGAGATTCCTCGATAAAAGATGTTGTATCTGTAGTGTTTCCTTGGTAGAAAGTCACAATGATCACAAGTCAAGAAAGAAAAGAAGAAAATACGGCAAGACTTAATATTTTATGTGAAGGAATTCAACGATGCTGGGGCATTTTATAAACATTAGTGAGGAGGAAAGCAGCGATAAAATGGAGACGTTGGGATTGGTGCTAAGTGTGCTAAGTATCTTTGATAACCATTAAAATACACTACTCTTATCATGTGTTGTGCTGTCATTATAACAGTTATAAACTACTAGAAGATTTTTACTAAGGAATGGATTCGTTATACTTGAAGCTAAGAAAGGGAAAACTCAAATGACCTTGATAACAATCGAACGTGCGTTTCTGTGACGGTTCGGGACTACTCGTGGGCTTTAACTGCCTTAAATCGGCCCTCTTTCGAAGCGTATATTATTTGTTCAATTGATAGAAAGAGCTTCATGTGTGTAGATTAGGGTTATGATTTAACATTTACTTGATGAGCAACAACAAACAAAAACATTCGACGGTATCAAAACAAAACGAGCATTATCAAATTTGCCGTGTCTTATACACTTCAATCAATAGAACACCAAACGTATACAAATAGCAGAGACTTCTACGTAATAATAAGTTATGACATTCAAAAGAAATGTATTGCATGTCCTGTGATGATTGATTGTTACCATGAACGCGAATGTGTTCTCRTCTGTGATTGGTTAAGAGCTGTGTTTACAAAATATTCCCAAAACTAGTAATATCCCGGACTGTTGGGCAACTGAAAAGAACTGTGTACTAGATTGACAGGTGCCATTTATAAATTGTCTGTTTTATTGCTCATTATCATTTCCTTTAGGAATAAAAACTGCGAATGTGAGATTCGACAGTTGCGATAAGTAGTTGTGTTTGCCTATGGTTTGACCTCAATTGTTACGGATTTACTCTGTGTTTATCCCCACGTCAAAATGCCTGCCTGTCCTTTATAATCTACTGGTCATACTCTCCTTAAAGTGCACCTTAACGATTTTCTTTTTTATTATCTAAAACAATTTTTATGAACCTTGTAAGACTTTCTGTGAAAGTTTGGTGATTATTTTGTAAACRGTTGGGACGAAATCGGAAAAATAAAGCCAAAATTAAGTGCGTCAAATTCATTTGTCCGAGCGGGGACTGGCGAGACTCTTGTGACGTCATCCCAGGCCATAAGTTCCGTCGCAAAAGACTACATGCCTTATAAAAGTCTATTTTTCTCACAAAAATCAATAAAACCGCTAAGATTGAATGTATCAAAYYGKTTTATAWTCWHTGRGAATTGTCAAGCGCTTGCCGTGAACTCAGTAGATTTGAATTTCAGCAAATTCCTTGTCCTCGGCACAGAATACGAAATAGTCATTTGAGGCACTTCGAAATTTTTACCTCGCGAAAGACTATGTACATACACGGCAGTCTAAATTTCTCGAGAAAATGAAATATAAAACAACCACGATTACAGACATGAAACTATTCTTCCTTTGCAGAGAAATGTCAAGCGCTGAGCTTGATCGGCGGTTTCAAAATCGGGGAAATACGATGCCCGGCACTCTCATAATTTTCAACTGAAAACATGATGACTAAAACTCTACGCAATGCTTCTGGATTGCTTGGAAAGCGCTTATATGTTTCAAGAACGAAAGAGTGTTCATTTCTGAATTCGTAGTCGTTTCATTTCATGAAATTTATTAGAAAAGTGCTTGAAAGAAAGAATATTTTCAGTCATGTGTTTGCCTTATCGTACTTATTTCATTTTCTAATTCTCGAGTACGAGAAGTTTAGACTGCCGGGCATAGAGAACTCTTTGCTTCAAATGACTAATGGCTGTTTTGCGTATTTTGTGCCGAGGCCAAAAGAATTTGAAATTCCAGCCCTATTACTAGTAAACTGAGTTAACGGTAGGCTCTTGACATTTCTCAATAAATATATAGCGGTATGGTTTATTCGTCTTGACAAAGTTGAGCCAAAGTTGACGATTTTGACAAAGTTGAGCCACTTCTTCCGTCTTTTTCTTTTTCCGTCGTAACTTGAGGGTCGATTCCCTTCAAAATATCTGGCCTGTTACTGCAGCCACCAACAACGCACTTGATGGGCATTTCATTCGCGAAAGAGCATAAAAATCGATGTTAAATAAGATTTTTGGAGTTGACTCGCGATAAAATCCACTGTCAAGCTTCGATAACAACAAATGCCTTGTCCTGGGATGACGTCAGAGTCRRTCCCAGTCYTTCCCGGTATTGAACCAAAAAAAAGAGCTCAAAGTGGACATTTAATTTCCGTATGTTTGTAAGTTCACCAAAAATTCGCTTTTTGATAAAAATGAAAAATTCTTTCACAGATACGTTTCCATTAACCTCAATTTTCATTTTAAAGATAAAAAAAAAATCGTGAAGGTGCACTTTAATATCCTAACTAAATTTAAGCATAGTTGCAGCAATGTTTGACAGCAAAGGAAAAAATCCTACTATTAGACTACTTTGTAATCCCTTACCACAACCCCAAACACCAGGTGGGCATTGCCCACCTCCTTTTCTTGGTTTAGGTGTTGCTGCAAAGAACATCAGATTAGAGTTAATGTCATCATTTTACACTCACCAGCAACTTTGTTTTCCAACGGCGTTGAGCCAAAAGTTCACAAAAAATTATATTAGAATCAAAATAACGCTCAGGACTTGTTGATCAAGGACGATACCAGAAGAGGAATATTCAAAGAAGATCCAAAGATTCAAAGAACAAACTTTTATCACAAGTAGAAGTTACAAGGAGGAGTTGAATTCCCAAGATGAAATAAATTAAGAATGGAAAAAGAAGAAAAAATGGAATGTATATTACAATGCATGCAAAAAAATAAATAAAATAAATAATAATAATAAATAAATAAATAAAAACAAGACAAAGATAAAGAAAGTGTCAGAAAAGAAACGGACGTCTTTTAGTTGCCATAACTTACGTCTATTTTCTTTGTCTTGGTTCGTGTCTGGAGCATTTTCTGAATCTTTGTTAGGATTGGTGTAGACTTGGTCTAACATCATACAAACCAAGACTAGAACAACCAATGCGGTGTTTATCCTAAACATACTGTACGAGTTGTGAATTTCTAACAGTGTTCTGAAATATATGTTACAAAGTATTTGGCTTTAATTAGCTTGTATATTCTATCTAAAGTTTAATCATGATTATGTCAAAGAGAAGTATTTGTTTTACTGATGCAAGGCACGGTGAATGATAATGACTAGCTCACTAGAACATTCTAGAACCTACTAGAACTTACTAGAAATGATTTTGAAAATGTAAATACAAAAAAGTTGTCTCATACCATATATATAATATATAATTATATCCCAACAATATATTTTCACGCGCATCCATTGGTCCAAAGGCGTCACGTGGTACATTTTCGGCGGACGGGTATCAGGCGATATCCCCCGTCCGAAGGTGATATTTGTCCGCGTAAGTTTTCAGATTTGTTTTTGACACAAAAAAAGCTATGGAAAGTGATCAAAACCGCTTTAGTTAAAGAGCTCTGATGATGAGAATAAAAAACTAGTTGACAAAACGTCATCTGGAAATACAAATAAGTCGACTAAGYACGCTGTGAGCGTATTTTACGTTGAGAAAATTACTAGTCACTAAAATGCCGATTTGTTTACAAACATTTACACTCGCTAGTTCGTTCTGTTTCTCTTAATTTCGCAAATTCTATGTCTAATGGCTATCATTTTTACTTCAGCTCAAAGCAAAAGAACCAAAGACACTCATTTTCCAGGTTTTCTGTCTAAAAAGACTTGTAATTTACTAAACGCAGCAATAAATTTGTAGTTTTTACTTCAGTAGAGACTTTTGCCGCCTTGTCAACACTTGTCAAATGATTAACCAATGAAATAACGAAAAATATGCTGTGAACCAATCACATCGTGTGTAGATTTAACCTTGCACTTTGATGGCTTTTCTTCCTCAACACAACAAAATGAATTCGTTGGGATATAAAATAAATAAACCCCTTCTTGGCTCACTGGGATATCGGCTGATAATGTCCTCGGAAAAGAAATAGTCCTCAAAATATCACATTTTCCCTCGAAGCTTCGCTTCTCGACCAAATGTTCATTTTTCGGACCATTTCTCATCCTCGGACATTATCAGCCGATATCCCAGCCGCCAGAAGGGTTTATTTACTAAATATGTCTTTAACTATTTGTTAATTTTGAGTGAGTTTTCTTTGACAATTTTGTTCATTTCGTTTTCAGTTAAGACAGCAAATTTGCGATTCTCAGCTTTCTCGATACTTTCATTACTGACATCCATCATGTAACAGGGTAATTGAACATCAAGCATTTCATCGTCAATGAAAATGCCAAACAAAGGTTCTTAGAGTATTTTTCTATGTTTTCGCAAGTTTACGGTAGTTCCGCTGTTAGTTCATAAGAATGAGCCAATCAGAGCGCGAAATATAGAGTAGCTATGTTATAATAGATCTTGACAAACGTTCTCTTCTAATGTACCTCGGCCGGTATTAGGTAATTTTTATATAAAAATACTTAGCAAAGCGAAATGATGGTACTTTTGAGGGGTACTTAAACGGGGTTCCAGTAACCGTACCGCCATCACTATTTTCGATATTTTTGACTCAAATATTACAAGTTTTCTATTTGGAATGCAAAGAACAGCAATGAGCTTTAATATATATTGTAAAAGTGGAAAAATGGACGCCTTTTGAAAAGCCCTGGGTTCGCCAAAGAAACATCAGATGTAAAACAAAAATCTTACCTCTTTTTCAACGGTCTTCTGTCTTGTTCACTAAAGGAGCTTTTGAACTTGAAATCTTTGAGGTGATAATGAATACAATGATCTTCAGAACTCGGATATAAATAGCTGGAAACACCTACCTGTTAGGTTCTAAAGGTGACGATATGCCAGTGATTTAATAACCAGTAGCAGGGTTAGATTTACCATGAT